AATCTTATCAGATTCGAATGACACTTTAACCCCAACTCTTCCAAACAGTGTTATAGAAATTAGATTGACTCTGATTAATGGCTCATGTAGCACATCATTCAAGGTCAGAATCTTTCCAGATATGAGCTTTAGAAGAACTTTTCTTTTTTCTAAGAGAGGAGTTGTCCTGGAATCATTGAGATAAACATATTCTTCTCCATCCCCCACACTAGTGTAGGAGGTAAAAGCACTTGTGTTTGCACAAATGTGTCTGGTAGCACCATAGTCTACAACTCATTTGCTCACATTTGTCACGAGATTTATTTGAGAAACGACCGTAATAATTGTATCTCTCCATATTATCGTTTCTCATTCCACGTCTACGTGCATGATGGCTTTACTTTCCACAAATAAAACAATTTTCCTTCTTGAACGTAAAGTAGGGGTAGATCCATTCGTTTCATACAGTATCAACCCTTTCTTATACCTATGTACAAAATAATATGGGGACAAAATAATAGTGTACTTATATGTATGTACAGAATAATATGTGAACAAAATAATATTCTACACGTATGTAGAAAATAATATGTAGATCTAAGTCATACATTGTATACATGTAACTGCTAATTATTCACAAAGAAAATCTCCCATAACATATAATAATTTTGCATAATTTCTTTCATAACATAAAATAATTATGCATAATGCATTTTTCATTTTCTATGTTGCATTGGTATAATAAATCGGAAAAAAGAACATGTGTTTGATGACATCACTTTGATCTAAAAATTTACTATCATAATTATAACATCCAAACATTTTCTATCATAATTATAACATACAGTGAAACCAATTTCATACATGATTTACCTTGAACCCAATCACATCATTTGTCTTTTCAATAAGAATTACATGATCATTCACATTTCAATAAGAAATTGATTGTAATAGAAAACATAAATTAGGGTTCATGTTAATAAGATATAGAAATCCTAAATTCATAATGTCTTTTCAATAAAAATTACAGGGTCATTCACATTTCAATAAGAATTTGATTGTAACAGAAAACATAAATTAGGGTTTAACATATGATATAGAAATCCTAAATTAATAATTAGAATTTATCTTAATTTAGGAAAAACATAATTTAAAAATTATCATAAGAGAAAAATCATAAATATAATAAGTATGATTCTGATACCACATTTAATTTATAGTTTTTATACATTACTAATTCTATATAACTACTCTTCTTCTTTATTCTCACATAATAACATACATGAATTGATTCTCACGTAATAACATACATGAATCATAATTAGAAAACTAACATTGGTTCATGAGCACTTTATAATTCCCTTTCTTTCACTATCCAATATTGTAAAATTATTGACGGAAGTTGGTGTAAAAGCTGACAGAGACACGAACAAACTTTATTCCTGAGGCGTGTATAATCACTGACCTTAAGGACTTATCCGCGGTGTATTGCGCAAGTCCCCCGAATACAACGATGAAGGCATGGCAACGGGGCGGGCGGGGCGGGTTTTGCCTCCCCGTCCCCGCCCCGACTTTTTAACCATCCCCGTCCCGGCCCGATCCCCGCGGGGTTAGGAATTAAGTCCCCATCCCCATCCCCGCTAGGTTTCGGGTTCCCGCCCCGCCCCGTCCCCGATTTATATTATTTTTAAAAAGATAATTATATTTATAATAAATTAATTTTACTATGTATTTTTATATATAAATAAAAATTTATAATTTATAGTTATTATTAATTAAATATACATTTTAATTTATTATATTTATATTAAAATATATATGTAAAAGAAATATTTAATTATTTTTTATTTATATATATATATATATATCTAATATTTATAACATTATTATTATTATTATTATTATAACACTGTATTCAAATATTTGAATATTTATAATATTATTATTATAATACTGTATTCAAATATTTAATTATACATATAAGTTAATTCATTTTTAAGTTGTCAATATATAGTTTATAAGAAAATATTTAATAAGTTAATTCTTATTTAATTAGTTTGAAGTAATAAAAGTTTAAATTATTAATTTCTTTTAATTCTTTAAAATGCAATTATTTTATTAAGATAAAATTTGATATATGATAAATAAGCATAATAAGATAAAAAAATATGACATAATAAATATAAATTATAAATAAATTAATATTAGTTACTACTAAGATTGATGTAAAATATTTAGAAAAAGATAAAGAAAAAAAGAATAAATTTGTGTTCATTAAATTGGTTGAAAAGATTGAAAAAAAAAAACAAATTGATGGGAGAAACTAAGAAAATGTGAAAAACTGAAAGATAAGGGAGAAAATAATATAATAAATTAATTGATATAAAAGATTGAAAAAGATAAAAAAAATTAAAAAGTGGATAGAAGAAAAATAAAAATTGGTGAAATATAAAAAAATAATCTTATATGTAATAGAAAAAGAAAAAGAAATATTTTAAAATATTAATATTTTAAAATTTAAATTTAAATATAAAGTCGTGGGACGGGATCGGGGTCGGGGTGGGGATTGCATTACCCATCCCCGCCCCCGCCCCCGACTTTTTAAAGCGGGGAAAACCCGAACCCGACCCCGCCCCCAGTCAACTCGGGTTTTCCCCGTCAAACTCGGGGCGGGGACGGGTCGGTCCCCACGGGTACGGGTTTAATTGTCATCCCTACTTCTCAGAATATCCGAGGATCTCAAAAACTAACAAGAAACTCTCAAAAAAGTAAATTAACCCAGGATAACAGAAAGAAGATCAGAGGAGAGAAGATAAGAGAGATGTGTTTTGAAGAATGTGAAGTGGTTTCTATTTATAGGAGAAAGTCTGTAGCAATTATGAAAGACTTGCTAGTGGGTCTATAACGTTCTCTGAATAGTCTTCTGTAACGTTCTCTGAAACAGTCTTCTGTAATGTGTGAGAACACGTTTTCTAAAACCGTCTTCTGCATTCTCTGAAACAATCTTCTACAACATATATGAGAACACGTTATCTGAAACGATCTTCTACCATGTTCTCTGAAATAGTTTTATGCAACTTATATATATGAGAACATTCTCTATTTTACAATACCCCATAATTTACACCAAAATTCATGTGGGCATCTCAAATCAACCTCTGTTTGAGTTGGTAAAACAAGCCATGATAAATAGTATTTTTTGGCTCAACCATGAGCCATCTGCATCGAAGATGCCTCTCCTATGCACCTTGTTCAGTAGAAGTACTACTTTGACCGCTGACACCAATCATTTCTCACGGACTTCAAGTTGACCCTTCAACATTTCTAAATTCATCATTATTTGTTTGTTCTAAAACTGTGATGAAGGAAGGGAGCATCCGCAACAACTAGGTCTCTCACCCTACACTTATAGTCTTATCAAAATATTTGAAGATTCAATTTCAAGTCTATAAAACTTTGTATAAATACGTTTTTTCATAAATATTTATAAGAGAAAACAAAACACAATAAACTTTTTTATATAAATTAATGGTTTAACACAAGTTAATTTTTTTTATTTTTAATTATAAGATAAAACTTTTACAAATTAACTTATGAGTCTATTCAGAAAATTTACTTTGTAAAATTTTTAAGATAAAAATAAGTAAAAAATGAAATAAACTTTTTCATAAATTAAATTTAATTATACATATGTAGACACTCTCTCATACTTCTCTAATTTCTTTTTAACTTAACTTTAACTTATAAAAAAAAAGTATGTTTTTTTCATAAAAATTATTATGATTTTTTTTCCAAACATTTTTTTAATCATAATTAACTTTAGTTTATAATTTTTTTCTTCCTTAAAAATTTTCGTGAACAAATTTTTTTTTAACATATTCAAAGATGTCTTCCCACTAATAATCAAATAAATTAAATAAACAAATATACTTCTGCATGCAAGCATCCCATTTCTTTGGCCCAAAAAAACAGTGGTTGAATTTACAAATATTACATGACACGTATACAAGCGACCTGCATTGATATTCTTTTCTATCTCAACCAAGTAAGAGAAGAACTTGTTTTGGACAAAACCGTTTGAGGCACCAGTTTATTTAGTTTCAGCAAAAAATGTTTCATTGTAAATGGTGTCGTGTAATCCTAAATAAGAGCACACACCAAGTTAGGATGTTGTAGTAAACTTGGCAGGGTACAAAAGTCCATTGCTTCAAAGCATAATCAACGTAGAAATCCTTTTGATTCCACAAACACTAACTCGGGTTTCATGACCCCTGAACACAACGAAGCCATGTAGAATTTTGCAGGCAAAAGGGTAGGTCCCGCCTTAAAGGCAGGCCAAGACATTCAAAACAAATCCAATCACATTCATCCTTACAAAACTTTTGTGATGCCCATTGTGCAACATAGACCATGCACCCAAACACACCAACAGAGTTTTCTCGCCCTGCTTTCAGCCTTTTTCAAGACATTACCAAAGCATCCCAAGCATCCATCAAAAGGTAGGTTGCGAGAGATATGACAAAACAAAATCCATTATGAAGAGGCGATGAAGGTCAAAAAGATTAACCGAAACAAAAAGGAAAAAAATGAAAATAACAGTAAGAATGAAGAAAAATCACAATAAATTATAAGGGTAAAAAAAGAGGAAAAACAATGGCCTAAGTCCTAACTGGCTGTTTCTGATGCTGCAGCTTTCTAGATCAGCATCTGGCTTTTAGTTTACCAGGTGATTTGATTTGAACACTTCAACTAATATATGTATCCCACAACCTGAATTTTTATTCTTGCTTCCTCCTTTGTCTTCTCTGCCTTGCTGGTTTCTGAGGAAGGCACCGAATCAATAATACTAAACAACTTTTCTTGCAGTAACAATCAACACCTTTCTCATGTGGGTTTAGCTTTCACTCCCTCTATCTCTGGGTGAGATTAATGCTAGAACTAACCAAGAATTCCAATACACAATCTTCACATTAAATAATTAGTCCTTAAAAAATATTTTAAAAAAAAAATTGGATTTTTTTCTAGCCTTGTCCCTTCCCATGACTACTTCCTTCATGGTCACCGAATGTGAGTCTTCTTCTCTTCGCCGTTGCTGCGGAAGAAGTAACTCGAGAGCTGTCAGTCACGTCTATTGGCGTATGCGTGTCTCTTTTGGTATCCTCTTCTTGTAATCTTTGAATTAGAATGTAGTACTCGAATACATCTTTCTGTGAAGAAAACAAAAAGTATTAAAGGCCATAATTAAGTCATAGTATCTATTAGCTTATATGTATTGGGGCAAGTTTAAAAAACAAAACACAGAACTTACAGGCTCTAGAAGCCTATGTTGTGGAATTGAACTCATCTTCAACTCCACTGCGTCTATCGTCAATTTTTGATCTATTGCCACTAATGTAGCAGCCGCTGCAATAACTGATGGTTTTTTATCCATTAAGTTTACCTCTGCACAAGAGAACAAATATCTGCTAAATGCATGTTGAAATGTGACTCATTGAAATTTTTTGTCAAAAAAGTTCATTTAAAAGCCAAAAGATAGGAAGGAAATTCCGGTGCTCATGATTCACCTTTCATTGTGGTGAAGATGAGTTGCATGGTCTTGGAAAAAGTAGGACTTGGTGGGGATTCAGTGGAGAACTTTGTGATGAAATAGGAAAGAAAATCAAAGGGAGTGACAATACCCATTTTCCACTCCAATGTGCTGAGCACCAAGAGCTCCATTTTCTGAATCACTTTTCCCTCAAAGGAATAGTCATCCAATTTGAACTCTGATAGCCCTGGCACATTACATTCCTCCATCTTTGCAGCCAGAGAGAGACATGCAATTGATAGCAACCGAATTGCCCAACACTTTTCACTCTGTACAGAATGGGGCATTCAACCAAAAGGGTAAGTAAGAAATAATGAAGATCGATGAAGAAGAGTGATCAAAGATTCAATGTTTCCATTAATTGGAAGATTAACATAACATTTTAGCTTACATACATCAATGGACCGTCTGGAAAGAAATCGATCGAAGTATGTGACTGACAAATAAGCCGTTTCGAAGCGAAAACCCAATGTCGCTCTTGTCTAATGAACAACAAAATTAAAAAGGAACAAACAAACAAAAATCAAGATCGAGTTTCCTATTGCAGTTCCATTAATGAAGCTCAATCGAAAGTACAAGTAAAATGGGTCGTTGGACTAACTTTGAGAATCCAATTGATTGCTTCCATGCGTGCGCGTTTCACCCAGTCCCCGAGCACCAAAGTTTCTCCCCTTCTGAACCCAAGAATGATTTCTCTCTCAACCAAAATCCCCACATACTCATCCTCCGAAACCCCACAATCATGCCGTGATCCATCCAATTGGTATCCTGATTCTTCACCTCCTTCTTCCAACCACGTTTCGTTTTCTTGGCATAGAAGGCTGGACGAAAGATCATCCATTTGGGAAACAAAAAAGTTTTCTGAAAAGAGATTCGACGACCCAATCGAACAACAATGCGAAAAAGGTCGTCTCTGAAGTGTTTTATATACGATGTGATTGAGCGATTAAGCCACTTTACCTAAGAGTATAGAATTAAGGAAGAAAGATGAGGCTATGATTTAGGTGGAAATCTTAGAGCTGTTGTAGCGGTTACAGTTTGGGAACATTGATTATGTTGTCTTGGACAATAAGGATTAGTGAGAAAGGCGAGATTTTAGTTCCGAGGGAGTGATAGAGTGAGTGAATGAGTGTTGTTGTTGTTGTTGTTGTTGTTGTTTTTGTTATGTTTCGGTGTTCAAGGTGTGATGTTGGGTTGGGTGAGTGTTGAGGATGATGAGGTTTTGATTTCAGTTTGACCCATAAAGTCTTTGCCTTTTGAGTGCCACTGTCTGAATCACGCGCTTCTACGGCGCGTGGAGAACAAAAACCCATCAAGCCCGTGTCTAGGTCAGATCGGGTCGGGTTAAATTGTGTGTGGCCCCTGCCCCTGAAGCTGAAGTCTAAGAAGCGGGCCGGGCTTTTAATTGAAGGCATGACGGAGGGTCCGGAAGAAGAAACAATCCTGAGGATGATAGCTTGACCAGTCAAACATGTCCATTTCTCTTTCAACAAATAAACTGAGAAAACTTGTTCACTCATAAGAACTTTCGATGTTCCACGAGATCCATCAATGGCATAGACCTTCATAAGTGCCAATTTTCGTACAATTCACGCCAACATGTACTTCATCATTCACCCAATTTTTTTTAAATATATACACTGAGATAATCCTAGTGAACAACCATGTGTTTGTCAGAGAATATTATGGAAATAAAGAAAGATTAATTAAATTCAAACAAAAAATAAAGAGTTGTTTATTTAATTGATAAAGATAGAATGAAACCCACCGTTTTAATTTCATGCTGAGATTAGCAGATATTAACCATGTGAGACTCTGAAATTGTGTGATACTGCAATTTATAGCTGTTTAAATTAAATAGTTGTAACAAAGCTAAATTTACCACCTTCTTTTTTTATTACAGTTTTAATGTCAAAAATGACAATTTGATGCTGATTACAAAAAAGTTTTCTATTTATGGTGTTTTTCTCTCTAAATTCTTTCAATTTGATCAGTGATTCACCACCTATTGAATTTTAACAAATGCTATTTAGTCTTAAAAAAAATAAAAAAGAAAATAAATATATTAATCTCTTTATATATTTTTCATCTGAACTAATTTAAATGTAGTTTCCCTATCAGTCAAATATCAAAAACACTAAAAAAATTGTTAGAATCTTAAATAATAAAATAATTACATTGGAAATTTTTCTTAATAAATATTTAGAGTTAAAGACTTTTTATACTATGTAACGATATGAAAAAATTCGTAGTAGATGAATATATATATATATATATATATATATATATATATATATATATATATATATATATATATATGACATATAATTAAAATCATAATAAGGATTTGTAACCAAATATTTGAGATTTACAATACATAATTTTATTGCAATATGATTTTTTTATTGATAACTTTTTAGTCAATATTAAAATTTAATTTTAACTAAATATATTAAAAATGGCAGATTCAATTAAGAGACAATAGATAAACTATGAAAAAAAAATTGTCTTTTACTAAAAGAATAACTCATTTTTTTCTTTGTCTTGTCTAAATTTGGACAAAGCATGAAATTAGAGTTGATTCCATTTATTGCTTCCCTTATTACTTTTGTCTGATTGCATTGCACCAAATAAGTGAAGAATTGAATTCTTAGTTTTTTTTTTTTTTCAATCTTTTCTCCCACTTTCCATCAATGATATAAAATAAAGAAATAGGAGTTGATGAATGAATAAAACCCTTTTAATGAATTAAATCAACAAAAGTGATTAATATAGTTAATTACGTTAATTTCTGAAAGATTATGGAAACATTAACTCTTTTTATCAAATTATTTTATAAAGTTACCTAATGTATGTTAGCCATCTTCTTTAATCTCATAAAATAAATAATTAATTTATTATCTTGTCTTATTAAATTCACATTTTGATGTTTATTGACTTCAAAACTTGAAAAAACGTAGTTTCAATTTTTTTATTTTTAAAAATGATTTCTCTCTCTCTCTCTCTATATATATATATATATATAAAGAGAAGGAAAAAATAATATTTTGCAGTAAACTAAAGTCATTAAACTTAATATTTTTCAACTTTCTTGATTTCTATTCATTTAAAAAGTAAACTCTAGTAAATGAACATTTTAATTTATATGAACAAATAACACGAGATTTAAAATCTTAAACACTACTACTATTTATATTGTATCATATTCTAAAATAATTCCAAGTGTGTTTTGTTAAATCTATAAACAGTAAAAAATCATTATTTTTTTCAAGTAAATAAACAAATAAACACGAAGACTTTATCAAGTCAATTAACACGTCTTAAACAAAGTTGGAAAAAATCAACCATTGAAAAAATATTTAGTAATATAATTTTCTTACTTATGTATCAACTTGAATTTTGAAAGTATACCTCGAGAGCATATATTTCATTGATTGAGAGGCAAAATATATACAAGTGAATACACTGATCGTTACATAACATTAGGAGAGAAATAAGCTAAATCTCTAGAAATTAGGCAAGTATCTCTCCTATATTAAGTAGATATCCCAATTTAAGTTAATTACAATATTTGACAATAATTACAATCATATCAGATTCTTGATTGTGTAACACTCCCCCTCAAGCTCAAGAACTAGGAAGGTACATGAGCTTGGAAATTAACTGAGTATGTGAAGCCGAAAGAAGAGCCTTTGTGAAGATATCTGCTAATTGCTGATTTGAGGAGACAAATGTGGTTCGAAGTTTTCCTTCTTGAATTTTATCTCGAACAAAATGACAATCAATTTCAACATGTTTTGTTCTTTCATGAAAGACTAGATTGTTTGCTATATGGAGGGAAGCTTGATTATCACAAGATAAAGTGGCAGGATGTGGTGGAATACCCAATTCATGAAGAAGGGTGTGCAACCATGTGAGCTCACTAACCGTATGTGCCATGGCTCGATACTCTGCTTCGGCAGAGGAGCGAGAAACTGTTGACTGCTTTTTGGTGCGCCAGCAGAGGAGACTTGGACCCAAAAATATACAATAACCAGTGGTTGATCTTCTAGAAGTGGGGCAAGAAGCCCAATCCGCATCACAATAAGCGTGCAAGCGTAAAGAAGAATTAGATGAGAGTAGGATACCATGGTCCGGGACAGATTTGATATATCTCACCACTCTAAGTGCTGCCTGCCAGTGTGTGTCACGAGGAGAAGACATAAACTGTGACAGTAAGTTAACTGCATAAGTGATATCCGGTCGGGTGACTGTAAGGTATAGCAATCTACCAACCAATCGCCGATATGGAGCAGGGTCGAGATAGGACTTCACCATGATCAGCAACCAAAGTGTGATTGTAATCCGGTGGAGTTGTGGACTGGTTTACTAGCAAGAAGACTGTGTCGTGCAAAATTTCCAATGCATATTTCCGCTGATTAAGAAAAATTCCAGCTTTGGAACGTGCCACTTCAATTCCCAAAAAATATTTCAATGAGCCCAAATCTTTTATGTTGAACCAGACTGCAAAGGTATTTCTTTAAGAGTGAAATAACCAACGCATCATCACCTGTAATGACAATATCATCAACATAAACAAGTAAAATTGTTATATGGGATGCACGGGTAAATAAGAACATGGAGTAATCGGCCCTTGATCGAGTAAAGCCAGCCTCAAGCAAAGCACTCGAAAAGGTAGTGAACCAAGTGCGAGGTGCCTGTTTTAAGCCATAAAGTGACTTGTGGAGTCGACAAACGCGACTCTCCCCTGTTTACGAAACCCAGGAGGAAGTTGCATGTAAACTTCTTCATGTAAATTGCCATGTAAAAAGGCGTTCGAAACATCCATTTGATGAGTTGGCCAATTTTTTGCTGCTGCAAGACTAAGAACGAGTCCTCACAGTAGTTAATTTAGTAACGGGAGCAAAAACGTCGGTAAAATCAAATCCTTCTTGTTGTGAGTAACCTTTAGCAACCAAACACGCTTTATACCGGTCAATGGAGCCATCAAATTTATATTTGATACGATACACCCATTTGCGGCCTATAGGCTGTTTTGTCGGGAGGCAAAAACTCTAAAGTCCAGGTATTGTTAGCCTCTAATGCCTTTAGTTCGTCCTCCATAGCCTGTCTCCAATGGGGATCTTTACGGGCAACAGTATATGAGGTGGGTTCAATGTGCTTGATAATAGAATTAATGAAATGGAGATGGTTATTTGAGTAAGGATTTGAGCAAAGAGAGTGTGAGATAGGATATTGCATACCTGGAGACGAGGAAGAAGATTGAGCGGAGGCCATATTGCACACGTAATCGGCAAGGTGCGCTGGAGGCTTTTTGAGACGTTCGGAGTGTCTTGGTGCAAGGGTAGTCACCGTAGGAGTGTCAACCGCATGTGTGGGTTCAAGGGTGGTCACCTGCAGGGAGGGATTCAAGGGTTCAACAGTATGTGTGGGTTCATTATCATTGGGTTCTGCGGGAGGAGGGAGTGGAGAAGTGTTTCTAGGAGGTGTGGGGTTGGTTGAATTTAGGGGTTCTTGATCACAAATGGGTAGAGGAAGAGGGTGTCGTTCCATGTGTAAATCATGCAAAGCCTTACTATTCTTGAATGGAAATATTGTTTCATGAAAGATAACATCTCGACTAACTAGAAATTTATGATGATCAATGTCATATAGTTTAAAGGCTTTTTGACCAGCAGGGTACCCCACAAAGATGCAACGTCTAGCTCTAGGTGCGAATTTATTTGGATGATCATGTGAAGTGGATGCATAACACAAACAACCAAATGTACGCAAGTGAGTGAAATCGGGTGGATGGCCATAGAGTTTTTCATAAGGAGTTTGACCGGCTAAAATTTTGGATGGTGTTCGATTTATTAAATAAGTGGCGGTAAGAATGCAATCACCCCAAAAGATTAGTGGAAGATCGGCTTGGAAACGTAAAGCCCGTGCAACATTGAGAAGATGTCGGTGCTTACGCTCGACGACACCATTTTGTTGTGGGGTACCTGGGCAAGAGAATTGTTGGAGAATCCCAGAGTCACAAAGAATTTTCTGAAATGAATTATTTGTAAATTCAGTGCCATTATCGGAGCGGATTGTTTTTACACATGTCCGAAATTGATTTCGAACATAAGCTAAGAAATGAACTAACAAAGAATAGGCATCCGACTTGTATTTCATGAGATAGGTCCATGTGACACGGGAAAAATCATCAACAATAGTTAAAAAATAATGATGACCATTTTTTGTAGGTGTGACATACTTTCCCCAAATATCAACATGAATTAATTCAAACAAACCACTTGCTAGTGGGTGTGTGTAAAGGAAAAGGGAGTCTTGTTTGTTTTGACAAATGACAGACTTCACAATGGTCACAAGAGTCTTTATTGAAACCAAGAACAGGAGCTAAACACTTGAGGGCACTTGATGATGGATGACCAAACCTAGCATGCCAAGTGGTGGATGAGGTAGTGATGATGGCGGCAACAAAGGTAGAGACATCAAGGAAGTAGAGTCCACCCTTTTTATGGCCCCGACCAATCTCCTTCTTCGTCAAATGGTCCTGAAATACACAATGATCGGGATA